GGGAAATCTGTACATATTTGGGAAATATTTGGCTGTAGTTGAGAATAAAATAAATATTTATAAACTCTCAAATGAGTCCAGTCGTACATAAAATGAACTTTCTGTATTTTAACCATCAGAATATGAACTGAAAAGTTACAACATCAAGAATTACAATCACAAAATGAAAATTTACGATTCGCTTTCTTCAGTACGAATAGGAATTCACAGATGTGACTCGACTGTCAAAAATACGTTACCAGTTTACAGGCATTATTTATTGAGCAGAAGAAACATCGATCGAGATGCCAGACTTTTGCGCCGCATACGAACTGAACCAGAACTTAACCAGGACGGAACTAGGACTAGGGCTTAAAGCAGGCCTAAAGCAGAACCGAACCAGGACTGAGTGTTGGGACTGCCGAGTGACTGCAGGCAAAAGGACCGGCGCAGAGCTACTTTGAAAAACAAATAAACGAATGACAAACGGATTACTCTTTATTGTCCAGTTTCAGTCTCTTCTGGATTCTAACAAAATGTAGAAGGAACTGGCTGCTTTAGGGTAGAATTACAGAAGCAAAGGGGCCAATCTGTGCCATCGCCCCCTCTTCCAATCACCACTTTCTACTCATACATAACATACAGAAGCAAAATAGGTGTGTCTGCTCATTCTCAGCTGAAATTGCACTTGAAGAACCCACATAAAGTCCTAACGGTTTGAAAGGATCAGTTCCACCACTATGAGCCTTCCTTACACATAATTACACGCTCACACATTTGATGAGTTATTTGAAATGTGTGAATAAGAAGTGTCACCCTCACACGTCTGATTAAACCACAGGAGGTGCATGTGTAGTCTTGTGTACCAGACATACATAAGATGTTTTCAGTCAGTAACGCGGAACACAATATGAGACACTACCAATTGTGATTTTTCTGTCCCTCTCTCAGTTCAAAATAAGTCAACTGCAGTGTTCCTTGACTATTTTTTAATCATACTTTCATGTCCATAAGGTACTTTAGCCTCAGCTGCTCCAATACTGACTGACAAAAACATGGCTATCAATGTACGCCCACTTCCTCTCCACCAAAACTCATCACTCACTCCCAACACAATCAGTACTTAAAGGTGCACTGCCGAGGTCTGTCACAATAATTACTATATTGATTTATGGTTCAATATACGGTATGAAAACTGAAACAATATATATTTATATACTTTTTCTTTGCAACAGTGGAGGGATTTTTATTATTTTCATAGCAATACCATATGATTTGAGCTGTAGAGGGTTAAATAAGTCATTTTTATGGCAAATTATTGGTTCATTCTGCTATTCATTTGTTGAAGCTCGGGCTTCTTAATGATACTTTATTTAAAAATAGTTTACTTTGATTTTCTAGCTTTATTTTAATTTTAATCAGTAGCATAAAGTAGTTCCAGTATTATCGCTTATCGCAATATTTCTCTGTAGCAATATATCGTGTTTTAAAATTTGTTGTGACAGGCTTAAACCTGCGTAACTTTTATGTCTCCATAGAGTTTCTTTGCCTTGCTCTAAAGATGGAAACAAAAAGGTGATGCCTCCAAGTTACTGATCAGATATGTGGACAGCAGGTATTTATTTTATTGTTTTGGCAAAATTAATAAATGCAATAGAAGCAATGGCTTCATAAAAACAAGCAGATGTTCAAAAAAGTACTAAAAAATTCAACAATGCACCTTTATATTATGTTAAATTGACTCTTAAAGTCAGGGGTCACCAAATGTTTTTCTCTGGGGGACACAATATTGCTCCTGACTGTGATGGGGGCCGCCGCACTTTCTTTACATATCAGACAAACTGCACAATCCTTACACTGAACAAAAAAATAACTGGTTGTCCACTGTTCTTTGAAAACTCAGTACTCTGTCAACTTTTCGTACTTTAACACTCGCCATTTTGCTGTCCTTAACTGCACTACAGAACTCTGCACGTGTGTTGACTGTCACTGTTTGATCTCGAGCTTGTCAGGTGACGAAACTTTGGCGGCAAATTCGGAGGCAAATGTAAATACGTCATATTATTATTTTAATATAAATACTTCAGATAAATATTATTTTTTAATAGAAAAAAATCTACAAAATGCTATTATTTGTCAAAATGTAGTAAAAAAAAAAATCCATGACAATTTTTGAGGATTGCCATAGGGCCAGTTCAAGTGGTGGGGAAGAGGGGCTGGAGGGCCGGTCAAACGGACGTGGACAGCTTGAGTTGGCCCCTGTTTTAAGTCACTTTTAGAATGTTGTTAATTCATCAAACACATAACTGGAGTTTTGTTTCGTTTTGTTTTATTTGCACACATTTGAGTAATGTTGCATTATTAGTCTGTCTACATCTCCAAAAATCTAAACGCTCTATTCCACCTTTAGTTAACAGCTTCTTTTACCTTTAGTTCAGTAGAGATTGGCAATTGCACAGCTGAAATCATCCAAATGATTCTAGTGAAGGTGTTTGGAGTTAAAAAACACACTGGAGCACTTCCTGTATTACCACGACATCACAAGTTGAAGTGTTTTTGTTTTGAGAGAAGAACAGGGATTCTCAAACGTGTGAATGAAACAAAACACAACTCTGATTAGGAAACAATATTCTAACATAGAGCGTAAAATAGCGTAATCTCGTCCCTTTAAACAGCGCTGGACAAGAGCCAGCTCTAAGGACATTTGTAACCGATTATCTTGGCAGCAGTTTGATTGGGACACACGCAGCTCGGACAATATCAAAGACAGGACAAAATATCGGAGGGGAGGACAGAGGATGGGGCGAAACCAATCTTCTCCTTCCTCTAACTGTTCCAGAAAATGGGAATCTGTCACTTGCCAAAAACAAAATGTCCGCTCAAGTTGGCCCAGGAGGGAGGCATTGTTTGGACCGAGTTCTGCTAAAAATCCGCTTGGACCAGAGAAATATGGGTGCGAGCTGGCGGTGTGGCTTTGGGACAAGAAAAGTTAATTTACAAAGTTTTCCACACAAAGGGAGATGTTATCACGTTTGTGGACAGACAGTAATGGAAAAATGGTTTGAAGATAGAAAAGCAAAATTTGACCTCTACGTAGACGGTAAATACAAGATAAAGATTTTAAAGGGACTGTACTTTATTTTTATGATAATTTTCAGTTTGGTTTGTGTTGCTGTATTGAAAAAAAAAAAAGTATTTTTATTGTTGACAAGTGATGAGTCAACAGATCCCAGGAAGTCAAGTCGATTTCCTGTTTGACTTTTGTGAAAGTGAGATATAGTTGGACAGAAAGGTCAAAGCAAATGAGGGAGGATAAGAACCAGATCCAATTTACTTTAAATATGTCGTAATCCTTTTTTCCCCCTCCTTAATGTTTTGTTTATTTTTGCTTTATCCAGGCCTAAATGACCACTGTAATCATCTGTTCTGGACTGTAATTTTGCGATTTATACTTGTTTTCCGGCAAAGGATTCCTGACATATCTGAGGATTTGAAATGGAAACAGTTGCTAAAGTAATAATTAAAAGTAATTAAACTATATATTATCTTTTAATTGGGAAAATGTCCTCACAAAAACCTTCAAAATCAGCAAGAAATCTGAAACGCAGCAATTGCTATTTTAAGGTCCCGTCCACACTAGTACTTATTCGAGTCGTTTTCGATGTGGATGCAGTGTTCGTCCACACTAATCTGATTGAAAACAGCTCCAGAGATGGAACGATCTGGTGCCACCAGCTCCCACGAATTCATCTGAGTACGGATCTGATCTGGCACTGTGTGGACGGCTGAAAATGCTGATGTAGGTCTATGCGCCGCAAAGTAATTTACCGCCAAAACTCTAAAAGGCTAGAATATATGTCCATTTAGATATACCAGGTATGTCCAAACTACAGCCTGTGGGCCAAATGCGGCCCTGAGACACATTTTTCTTGGCCCTCAGGCTTCCAGGTGAATTGGCCCAAGTTACCATGCATCAATTAAAATTTTACTTTTTACTGCAAGTTTCTTTTTTGAAAATCTACCTTAATAAAGCAAATATAAATTAATATAATAATATATATATAAATATATATATATATATATATATATATATATATATATATATATATATATATATAAATATTTTGTGCATGGTTTTAAGGATCTTAGCATGAATAAAGATGATGGCTCATTTTAACATGTTAAACCTGCACATATTTTAATTATTCACTGTATTGAGCACCAGTCTGCGGCCCTCGATCGGCCCTTGATCGTTTTTAGATATGTGACCCTTGATGAAAAAAGTTTAGACACCCCTGATATATACGGTCTATGGTTACAACCTGCAGACGTATAATCTCTGAAAAGTTTAACATGAACCATCTCCAACGCGACAGAAGCACAGAACAGACTCACCATAAGCAGAACACCCCTTTGTCACAGAAAGAACACATATATTCCACTGAGTCATGTCCTTTGGTCCAACAGAAGCTGAACTGCATCATTGCACAATAGCGAGCTGTTTTTTGAGCACTCCATTTATGCAAATTAGCCATGTGGTTTTAAGTTTCATTTCTGTAAAACGTAAACAAATATGCTCAAAGCTGTGTGGATACGGAAGGCTTGCGACATGTCTGGACGCAGATCATTTCCGATACGGTGAAACGGTGATATGTGAATTCATTTCAGTGTATGTAGTCTAATTTCCGTCATTTTGTTGTGATTAGAAAAAATGGAAAATCCTATATTATACATATTTATTCTTGGCATCGTCATTTGTATTTGTAAACAGTTTTAGGCATTCATAACTAATTTCACTTGAACCTAAACCCCTTTGGTCATAGTTTTATAGTCAATTAAGTACACACTCAAGTACATGACTGAAGAAAATAACTACTACTACTACTACTACTACTACAACACAGTATGACAGTTAAATTCTTGCTTGTCTTAACACATTCTACAACTTTTTGTATAATTTCAGGAGGTCATAGTAAACAGAACCGTTCACCATGTCAGTGTGATGTCAAATAAATCTGTACCTCTCCGTCTTTGGACTCCAGACGCAGCTCGTTCCTGCAGATGGCCTGGATGTCTCCGGCCTCGGCCAAGATCTGGATCCCTTTAGGAGCCTCCATCAGCAGGGAGCGAGTGGGCGACTCCAGCCTATGAAAAACAACAAAAACACACAAGCAAAGATGTCAGAAAACACCACTGAGTTTCTACTTTCACTTTACAACGATAATCCGCGGATCATTCGTTCATTCATTTTTCAAAATAAAACCAAAAATAAGAAAACGAAAAAAACAACTATTTTCTTCATTATTTGTCTCCAAAACCAAAATGAAAAAAAAAAAAAAAAAAACAGACAAAGATTTGTTTTTTTCGATTTTGTGTTTAAATGAATAATCGAAAAAAAATGGATAACAGCCGTTTCCCATTTACATGACTTAAACTGGATGGACTTTTGTGCCGCATACAGACTGAACCAGGACTAAAACAGGACTACACCAGGTCTGGGACCAGACTCGAACCAGACCAGGACTGAGACCAGGACTGAGTCGGGACCAGGACCAGGGCTGAGACCGGGACCAGACCAGGACTGAAAATGTTTTAGTCCTGTTTTAGTCCTGTTTTAGTAAGGATTTAGTCCTGGTTTTCCTGTTTTAGTCCTGTTTTAGTCCTGTTTTAGTCCTGTTTTAGTCCTGGTTTAGTCCTGGTTTAGTCCTGGTTTAGTCCTGGTTTAGTCTGGCCAGTTTAAGTCACGGAAACGGGAAACGGCCCTTATCCATTTTTTCCATTATTCATTTAAACACAAAATTGAAAACTGAAAAAAACAAATCGTTATCCGTTTTTTCATTTTGGTTTTGGAGACAAATAAAGTTTTTTTGTTTTCTTATTTTTGGTTTTATATCGAAAAACAAATGAATGAATGATACATGGATTAATGATGTTTACTTTGAGAACAATTCCATTTTATTCATCTTTGAGCCTGGACTTTATTTTATCAGTGTAATTTATCCTGAGTGGAGCTAAACACTAAATCAACTTTTTTCTCTCTCTCTACTAAACAGTGTATATGGTGTTTTAATAGTATTGCCCGCTGTCCTTAGTTGTTTTTGGCAATTTTTTGTTTTCTCTGCACTGCAAAAAACTAAATCTAGCCATGTTAAGATGAATTTAATTAAGAAAGTTTTATAATAATTTCAGTAATTTTGGAAAGTAAAATTATCTACCAATGGACCTAGACTTTTTGGTCTTAAAATATGAAAATACGTTTTGCTACACTTGCAAAACAACAACTTTTTGCCCTTAAAATAAGAAACAAAATCTAAACTTGCTTGAATTAAGAAAAACGCATTTATTCCATTGGTAGATAATTTTACTTCTCAAGTTGAATCAACTCAAATAAAGTAAATTTTTTTTAATTTAAGTCATTTTAATTGGGAAGTTCCACATCATTAATTATCTGTGTTTTCATTGCTCACAAATATGCATAATTACAGTGAGCAGGTTCACTTCTCCACAGATCTGACCTGTAACTTGCGATGACTGAATTACCTTCTTGTTTCCAGGAATATTTCAGACAAAGGAAAAGCATCTCCATGGAAACAGGAAGAATGAAAAAGGTTCAGTGCGTCTTTAATGAAACAAAGAACTTCCTGTACTGAATTTACTTTATCGACATTGTTCATGATTTTACTGGAGAAAACAAAAAATAGAAGTAGAAGTGAATGAAAATACAAAGATAGTGACCTCACAGAGGCAGTATTTACCATTTTCAAGTGTCTTCTTTGTTGTATCTATTATTTTAAAATGAAAATAAGATTATTGTCAAAGAGAGAAGAGCTGCCCTTGGTACAGCTGTGGAGAAGATGGAAAACCACAACATGCCTCTGTGTTCTGCTCAACACAAAAGAGTGAAAGCAACTCATTTGAACAGGAAAACAAAAGTGACTAATGTGTTTTTGATGCGCAAACACAAATCTGTCATCTTTCACAATGAGAAGAATATGTTTTGTTTTGGCACAAATAAAATTAAATTGTAGAGGGAAGTGACATTTGGAGTGAAGTTATATTGTACACAAGACATTTAAACTTCAGGACCACGGTTAGCGCCCAAACAAACGCGTTATGGTCAATACTCATTAGACCCATTACAAAGGTTATAACACATTTTGTTTGTGTAGTAATATTGTTTTGATACAATTAAAATATTATCATATAAGCATTTATAGACATATTTAGTTATTACTTAGTTAAAAGTTACACAAAATGTCAACATTCACTCTTCAGTACCCTGGACAACACTCAAAAAACGTGTATTACAATCTCTACCAGACATGTCAAACTCGGGCCCGGGGTCCAAATTTGGGCCATGATATAATTATACTTGGCCCGCAAGATCATATCAAATCTGTATTAGAGCTGTCCACCGGCTACAGATAGACTATAGAGACATTACATATTTAAAATGTAGTTTTAAATGTTTGTGTGTTTTGGATTCAGTGTTTAAGCAAAACTATTATTAAACATTTATTTTAATAAGAAAAGGTTTAATATTATGTATCTCTAAAGAAGAGGAAAACCTGCAAATGATGTAAAATCTTTCAGTATTTAGTTTGGGCCACAACTTTGTCAAAGTTTTTAATTTTGACAATCTGTGAATTTGAGTTTGACACCCCTGTTCTATACTCTTGCCCCATGTAGTAAAGTAAAATCTGTTTTGTATCAGCTGAAGTAAAAGCAGCTAGCTCCACCTTATGATGTCATTTAATAATACAGGAAGTGATACAAAAAGTGCTCCACTGTGTTTCCACAACACCTCCACAGTACTCCTCAGCACTTGCTCCTCCCACAAAGAGTGCAGCTCCCTCAGTTTGAACAGGTTTTAACAATGTTCTGCAGTTTGTTTTTATCATTTAAGGACAAGGACTGAAACATTTATTGTTGAGAATCATTTTGTTCACATTAAAAGAGTTCAGTTTTCTCAACAGATATATGGTTAGGTCTGGAATTTCCAATCTCTGTTGGACAAACAGTAAAAGGTAGTAGCTGTGAACTTGAAAACTACCACTAGATGACATCACAAGGTGGAACACAGCAGACAGACAGACTATTAAGAGGATTACTCAAGGCGTGAACGAAACAAAAGACAACTCCAGGTCTGTTTTTGATGACGTAACAGCATTATAACATGGCTTAAAGACCACAAGAGTCCATTTTGCACAATACAGGATCTTTAAATCTTACCCAAGACAGATTTTTTTGTCTCCATAATTTTTTTTCTGTATCATAATTTAAAGATTTTTTCGGTATTTGGTAGAAAATAAAAAGCAAAAATCATGAAATTGCTCTGTGTGAAAGTCTTGAAATAGAAAAGTGAAGACAACTCCCAGCCCTCTCTATAATAGACCATATATTTACAGTAAAATCATGTGTTTTGGCTGTGGCGCCCCCCGCTGGCTGGTTTGGGACGCCCCGCTGAGACACGGCAAATGTTCAATCTCCTCTCCATAAAGTCCTCCTCATGTGGAGTACTGTAATATCCAAACGGTGGCTCTTTTGCACCCAATTTCACACAAAAAGCCTGCTCCTCTTTCCAGGAAATGTTTCAATCTCAGAAGAATCTCAGTCTGAGTTCACACTTTTCCTGGTCTGGAGAGTTATACTTACGCTTCACCTGAAATGTTCCACTGTATGGCATTAAATGTACCTGTCCTGTGTGTTTTTTATTGGTTGAATATACCTTGCTAAACCTGCATTTTTACTGGAAGACAGAACTGACTTGGTCCCAGTGGTGTTATTACCTTGTCTCCATGACGATAGTTACGTTTAATGCCATGCTGTGGAACATTCCAGACAATTACAGAAGACATCAGACATACAAAGCAAGATATATGGAATTTAGTAAGGAAAAAAAGTTTGATAACCCTACAAAATATTTTTCGACAAAGCAAAAGAGAAAAAGGATTTGGTTATAAAAAAAAAAAAATAATATATATATATATATATATATATATATATATATATATATATATACAGTATGTAATTACCATATTTTTCAGACTATAAGTAGCTCCGGGCTATAAGTTGCACCAGCCAAAAAATGCATAATAAAGAAGAAAAAACATATATAAGTTACAGTTTTAGGGGGAAATTTATTTTATAAAATCAGACACCAGGAACCGACATTTCATCTTGAAAGGGAATTCATAGTAAAAACAATTGAATAGAAAACAACAGGCTGAAGAGGCGTCTGGTATGTTAACATCATATATGAGCAGTTCTTCAGATAACTATAATAATAACAGAACAAGTTTACCAAACTCTCCATCTCACTTCAAATCACTAAATCCATTGAATTATTTATACTCGGTGTCACTTATGAGCAACTTCGCGACTTCTGGAGATAAACCACAGATCCATGAGGTAAACAGAGAGCTGCCTCCTCTTCTGTGTAGCTGTTGTCAGACTCAGTGTCAGTTCCAGTTAGAACTAGAAAAGCACTCAGAGAGCGCAGACCTCCGCCAAGGACTACCCCCATTTTTATATAAATTGCGATAAAATCAGTCTTCTGGATCAGATCCGGATCAGCCTTTGGAATATGAAAGAGGATCCCATTGTCCATCCCTGAGTCCAATTTCATGGGGTTTGGTCAATAATTAACCGAGATATTGAGAAACAACATTTTTGGCCCCATTTACCACAATGTTAACTAAAATTTCAAAGTGATCCAGAATCCAGGATTTCTTCCGGATCACCCCCAAAATGAAATCACTTCTTCCTTTTCACATTTCCAACAAATCCTGAAAATTTCATCAAAATCGTTCCATAACTTTTTGAGTTATGTTGCTAACAGACAAACAAACAAACAAACAAACAAACAAACAAACAAACAGACAAACGCTGGCAAAAACATAACCTCCTTGGTGGAGGTAATTATTCCAGCCTTTTCTGAATCCTGACAGTCACTGCAAGACCAGGCTTTGTTGATCCATCCAGTGACTTCTAGGAAAGTTGCATGGCGCACCCTCCCAGTTACCATAAAGTTGTGTTCTCCTTCCCCATTTTTCGCCAGTCCCTCACAAATTTTTCGCTCACTCCAAACCTTCTTTCTGCTGCTCAATTACCTTTTTTGGCTGAATATTTTATTACTTGCAGGA